TTTTGGCAGGAATCACGCTGTCCGAGTACTTCAGAGACATGGGATACAATGTGAGCATGATGGCCGACTCCACCTCCCGTTGGGCCGAGGCTCTCAGGGAGATTTCTGGCCGTCTGGCTGAGATGCCTGCGGGTGAGTTTCGAGTCAGCTGGAGATTTTATACAGAACTTGTAGAATCTCATTTTGAACGAACCCAGTATTTATCTATTTGGACACTGAGGGGTGAATGGGGAAACTGGTTTATGCTTGAGAACATCTGAAAGGCAGGAAGTGTTTGACTTTCTGAAGGGGAATTCAGGGCTAGTGTCATGCTCTGGTTTTGCAGGAAATTAAAGAATGATTGTAATTTAAGTATTTTGTAGTGACCTGTATGTTTTTATTTATTCAAAGAGGAAGGAGTGAATCTGCCATTTTAACAAAAATGTAAACGATCTTCTGCTTAACAAACTAGCCGAGCTTCCGAATAGGCTGCCTTCTACATTTTACATCGATTTCAGAAGAAAGTAATATTTGCTGGATAATTATTTAAAGCTCCTGGTTAGCTGGTTGTGAAACAGACCATATACCAGCGACTCTCTGGAAACTACAAAGCCAAGAAGACCATCAGGGACAGGACTGATTACGTCTATATAGTTATTTTGAATGCCTGTAACTACTGCCACAGGAAACATTAACAGCACGTTGCTGAAACAGCCTCCTTAGAAAAAATGTCCACACCAGAGAGTCATTGTGAGTTTCATGTTAGTCATTCATATTAAAGCAGGAGGAGGGTTTTTTCCATCAGAAAACACACTCCTGAGGGTTACACATGTACAGTACAAGAAAAGTAGAGAGTTTAGAACGATTGATTCTCCACGGGGGGGGGGGGGCATAATTGAATTAAAAAACAAATATTCCTCACACGACGAACATGCGACAAACCATCGAAGACATTTGAGTCGCAATTTACCAATAAATTACAAAATCTGCTTTTCAAACAGCTGAAATTATGAGACGATTAAAATGAATACATTGTGAATCTCTTCTTTGTAAAAAAGCTAACCATAATTTAAGAATTCCTATGCAATTGTCTCACTTTTAAAATGACTATAGTAGAGCCTCTGACATAGAGCCGGTGTAGGCGTACTATGTTATTACCTCTTTTTATGGAATCTTGTTGACCTACTTGGATGCATGACACCAGTCGACTGCTTACAAAAAGTGTTTTCTCTTTCTGCCCACAGACAGCGGTTACCCTGCCTACCTGGGAGCTCGTCTCGCCTCCTTCTACGAGCGAGCTGGAAGGGTGAAGTGTCTGGGCAACCCTGAGAGGGAGGGCAGCGTCAGTATTGTCGGAGCGTGAGTACAGCTTCGTACCACTAGGGGGAGACATTTCTCTGCACATGAATATTGTAAGTGAGCGTGAAATTAAATCTTTTTGTTCTTTTCCCAAGTGTGTCGCCCCCTGGTGGTGACTTCTCTGACCCTGTCACTTCAGCCACTCTGGGTATTGTACAGGTAAATGACTAAAACTCAGATCTCACTGTCATTCTAGTAAAATGTTTGGTGCTTTCACTTCATAATGCTCCTGTTGTTTTCTCTCTCAGGTCTTCTGGGGTCTGGATAAGAAGCTGGCTCAGAGGAAGCACTTTCCCTCTGTGAACTGGCTCATCAGCTACAGCAAATACACACGTGCTCTGGACGAGTATTACGACAAGCACTTCCCCGAGTTTGTACCCCTGCGTACCAAGGCCAAGGAGATCCTGCAGGAGGAGGAGGACCTGGCTGAGATTGTGCAGCTCGTCGGAAAGGTAACCTTTTGAACAAACGCTGATTTGTCTTGTAGTTTCAGAGCTGGAAATACATAAAACAAATGCCTATTTCTTCTATATTCTATTTTCCAACCTTTTAAAACACATTTTTTTTCACATCCTTTAATCAGGCATCGCTGGCTGAAACAGATAAAATCACACTGGAGGTGGCCAAACTGATCAAAGACGACTTCTTGCAGCAGAATGGTTACACTCCCTATGACAGGTAACGTCATCCTCAGCACTGTTACTCAATCACTGACCACTGAGTTCAAAGACATGCTGGACCAGACACAGTGACGTTTAAAGTCATATCTAAAATGGCTGTAAAGAGAATCTGATCTAATGGTTGCTGATAACAATATTTGTCCAAGGTGTTACTTCATTCTTTTGATTGAATCACTTTTTATTTATTTTATTGATCTTCTACTATCATTTATTTTGTATTTTAATGTATTCTTTTTGCTTGACGTCATGTTTATTTTGCTTCATGTTCTCTTTTGAACTCTGTAAAGCATCTTGATTTGCTCCATGTTCAGTATAAACTTAGTTTTAAATAAAGTTGCTTTTCCTTTTGTCCTCAGGTTCTGTCCCTTCTACAAGACGGTGGGCATCCTCTCCAACATGATCTCTTTCTATGACATGGCACGGCACGCGGTGGAGACCACAGCTCAGAGCGACAACAAGATCACCTGGGCCATGATCAAGGAGCACCTGGGAGAAATCCTCTACAGGATCAGCTCAATGAAATTCAAGGTGTGTGTGCGCGCTAAGGCTTCGATAAATGTCCTCTTTGGTATATTTGTGTTTTTTCTGATTTAAAAAAAAAAAAAGCAGAAATTAGTTGTTTATTTATCTTTTCTGTAAAAACAAAAATATCTGGATTTCTTTTTTCACACTTTCCGTGTATGTCATGTTTTTTCTTCTTCATTTTGCCCAGTGCTTCCGTCTAAGGTTGAGAGCTGCTGTTTAAATGTTTGACATTTCATTTAACCTGTGACTCATCCACAAACAGTAGTCTTTGTTTGTAACGTGTGGTAGGAAGTCTGCCTGTAAAGTAAGAAGAGTTGGTACGAGTGACCTTGTTACGTATCTTGAGAGGAATATTTTAAACTTTGTAGTCCATGTAGATACATCTTTAGAACATATTTTTATTTACACTGGATGCAATAAGAGTTTAAAAAAGTAACAATAAGGGAGTGGAAAGATCGTTTCCTTGACTGGGTCACATGCTTCAAGTAGAAAAGATGATATCCAGTTACAATCAATTATCAAGATTCCAAATCAGTAAAACAAAGTAAAACAAATATATTGAGAAGGAAATATAATCAGCAATAGTACTATTTTCCATGTCCAGGATCTAAAGTAATTAGCTGTGAGCGTCGGGTCTGCAGTGCGTTGGTGCGCGAGTCCACGAGGGCTCGACATGGTATAAAAAAATGAGTAATGGTTTCCCACCATGTCTATGTTTCCTTTGATTATTTTAATGTCATTTTCTTTTTCTGATTTTATTTCATACTGCGTAATTGTGCAAACAATTGTTCACAATTGTTGGGGCTGGATGATCATGTCCTTTATGTCCCAAATGAAAGTCTGCACATATTCCGACTCACTGAAAGTGTGTAATTTGCCATTGAGAAGTTTGAGTCAGAGTCCTCACTCACACACACACACACACACACACACACACACACACACACACACACACACACACACACACACACACACACGATGATTTCACAACGGGACGGCGCTATGCAACTCGCACAGGAACGCGCCTCAGAGTCTGTGAGTGTGGGGTTTTGGATTCAGACACTGCATCGCTACCTCAGGACTCCTCGGTGGCCCTTATGACATGAATTAATGTACCATGATGAATGCAAGTTAATTTGCCAAAGAAGGCGGGATGAAAAACAGAAGAAGTAGGTGTTGGCTCGATAACATCAGGCAGCGATGAAAAGGAGTTTTGAGATTGGAGCATGATAAGTGGTGGAACAGACACCAAACTGCAATTAATAACTAAATCAATCCGGCACTTTAACTTTTTTTTTTTTGAAAGGAATTTAAATCCACCGATTCCCATCCCTAGGAATGAAATAGTTCAGATATTAATCAGAAGGATTAGGGTCATTTCTGAAGCTCTTCAACAGCCTATATACAGAAGTTCACCTTCTTTAAACTGTTTTTTTTTTTTTTTCTTGTACAGGACCCGGTGAAGGACGGCGAGGCCAAGATCAAGGCCGAGTACGCTCAGCTAGTGGAGGACATGCAGAACGCCTTCCGCACATTGGAAGAATAGGCTCCCCCACCACGTCAAGCCTTGCCGGGTTTTTGTCTCTGACCCCTCCACTGAAGAGCCACATTCCACCTCCCCCTATCCCCCCCCCCCCCGAAACCTGCGTGCTCCCCTGTGCTCCTTTTTTGTGTGAGTGATTGTGTGTATCTGTGTGTGTGCATTTCAATGTGGAGGGCAAAGAGAAAAGATGTACTGTATTCATTATTATTTGTTGCCTCATATCGGCCTACTCTGGAACCTCTGATTGTGTGTGTGAGTGAGTGAGTGAAAGAGGGATCTCTACCCACTGTTTCTTTCCTTTCTCTGTTTACATGATTTCTGTGCGTGTTTAGCCGTGCTGCTCTTCCTGAAGGAGATTGTTCGGGTTGATGTATTGTAATTCACAGACCATCTGTACAGAAGAGTATTGAATATAAATTTAATAAGATCAGTCTATTTATTGCCAGCATTTTGACGTTAAGGCTTTGTTGTTCTCTCTCTTTTTTTTTCTTTCTTTTTTTGGTTTTTATGGTTGTGTTTTCACACTGTGCAGTGTTGTAAAGTTTTGCCGTGTGAATGCTGTCCAATACGTTCATCATGTGACTCCTGAATAATTAAAAACATGGGGGGAAAAAAAAAAAAGGAAGAGGAAGAAAGATGTCTTTGTTTGATTGGTGTTTAGTTGTGATGATGCTGTCAGTGCTGCTGAACTGGTCGCTCTGCATACCTCAGCACCCTTGCCTACTTCCATGGAAATTCTGTTAACCTCTTCATTTGTTTTGGTTAAAGGTCAACGCTAAAGCAAAGGGGTTTGAGTTAATAAAGAATGATATTGATGCGCTTTAGTGCCTTGAAATGATTTTGTAACTTAAACAAGTTAAACTCCGTGAAGGAAAAAAAAAAACCACACCATTCATGCAAACGAAAACCAGATCGTTCTCAGGAGAACTCAAGAATAACTGGAGGGAGAGGTCATTTAGGAGTCCTTAGCTGCTAATGCGAACACCAATGAGCGTCACCAGTGAGATGACAACTCCCTTAAGGTATGTTTCCCTGGCCGAGATGAGATTCACCTGCAACAAAGACGCGTGAGAACAACATTAAAAAGTCCTCGACAGAGCTTCAGAGCTGAGTGGAACCTAAACACGGGGTGTTCTCTGAACTGGGTTGCATTAAGGAGCAGAGATCCTGGGTCCACTACGTGCCAGGTAAGTGGACTGATAAACCAGCTAAGTTTTAAACCACCCACATGCTCATGGAGCAGGACGCGTGTGCGCCTTTGGCGGCGTGCGTAAATGTGTTTAGTCGCATGTTTAAACAAATCAGATACATTCAGTTTCAACTTGATTTGCGAGATCTGACATCGTGATAGTTTCTATCAGCCATAACGATCTACAGTGCCCAGAATGAGTGTGGAAGTGTTGCTAGTGATGTGAACTTGTCGTCATTATGTTTAATTTAATGCAGGCTAAACATTGCAGTAAATGTTTGGAGGTTTTGACACAAACGCGTTCATCCACATAAAAACATTTACAGAAATGTAATTCACGAGTGCGGAAAGGCTCCTGTTGATTGTTAAGACTACATTTCCCACTCCCAGTCAAACCAGTTCTGTTGCACTCAGATTGGCTTCACCTGCGGAGCTGCTTGAATGAAGTTTGCCGCCTCCGAGGATAAGAAGTTGTTTTTAAAGTTGCACTAAAAAAAGATCGAATACGCCTGGCCTATTTTTTTTTTAAATTTTCTGTCTTTAACACTCCCTACTGTCTCTGCTGAGAAAGGCTGTAGACAATGACATGAGTCGAAAGTCATTTTGCAGCAGAGTTACTTAAAACACGTCTTTTTTTTTTTTTTATGTTCCTGTGAGCAGCGCAGCAGAGCAGATGGACCAGGTGTCGTACCGGTCAGTGGGCAGTGATGAGATTACAGATGAGTCAGCATCAGTGTTGGAGGACAGGTGGAGCTCCTCTGAAGAAGAGGTAAAACGACAACAACACCATGCTTTCCAAAGTTTCCTAACTGTGTGGCTTACACAAAACCTTTTCCTCAGATTGCTCACACCATGTTTCACCTCATGCACGTTGGAGTTCCTTAAACCCAAACCAGGCCCACAAAGCTGCTGAACATCTGCTTCACCTCACAGTAGATCATTTTATGATGTCAGTGACACACAGATATGATCCTTTCCTTTTGTCATCTTGTGCAAGGCCAATGTGCTGTTAATTTTTCCCAACCATATGAGTATTTAGTTTTAAATCGCTAATGACCACTTCTCGCCCACCAGGCCTCCGACCCTCAGGCACAGTGTCTTGCAGCCCCACAGGCTCCTCTGCCGACCTACAAACAAAGGTTTGATGAATTCAAGAAGTTGTTCAAAGAACTGCCGGAGTCAGAAAGACTCATAGTGGGTGAGTCCTAAAAGCTGCTTCTCATTTGATTTGACTTTTTTTGCTTCATTTTTCCTCTATTGAATTATGACACAGGTGGAAGAAACCATAAGGGTTGTGTAACAGGGGAGGGCTCAGGAGTTCAACCAAGATGTCATCATTTTACAAAAAGAAAGAAAAGATGTGTTAATGCAGTTCTGGTCTGAGGAAGAAGAGCCCTCAAATTAAGCATGATAACATCTCTGGATTATTTTATAATCAGGTGACATTTGAGGATCCCAAATGGATCTTAACTTATTCCTTAAATTCATTTTAAGACAGTTTCAACATTTCTTATTGTTCATGTTTGTATGTTCAAACATACAACCCTGTGAGTGAGCACGGCACATTACCATCTTTGGAAACAAAATGTTTCTGACGAGTTTAAGACTGAAGCGGTGCATTATGAGTTGTTACTTATTATCAGTCTCCAAAGAGAACTGAAAGAGCGTAAATCACGACGTCTTCTCTACGATGACCTGCTTTGTCGATGTAGTGAAACAAACTAATTTGTATGGATGCTTTTCCTGCTCTATATTTTTTTCTAAGACTACCCGTGTGCCCTCCAACGGGACATCCTCCTTCAGGGACGCCTCTACCTCTCAGAAAACTGGCTCTGTTTCTATAGCAACGTGTTTCGGGGAACCAAGGTAATAAGAACGACAAAGGGAAATGGGAGGCTGTAAAGTCATAAAAGTACATTCATGTTCCTGCAAATATATTCTTCATATTTGTATTTGAACTATTTCTATTCTTTCTCTTTAATTTGGAGACATTAAACATGTCGACAGTGACGGCTCTAATGCTTTTAAGTATCTGTGCTCACACTCATTAGAATATTAATCAATGAAGTCCAAAATCCTAAAGGAAACTCTGAAGAGAATTGATTACATTTCTTGTATTGGCTTATATTTCTTGATGTTTTTCTGCTATTCTAAAGAAACATTTTGCTAAATTTTTATAAATAATTGGACAATATCAATTCCTTGCAAATTAACAGCAAGAAATTCTGCAATTGCAGAGAGAGACACACACTTGATACAACAATAAGGAGGAAGCTACAGTAATTCTGACTCATTGGACCTTTTGTCAAATGCAACAATGTCTGACTAATTCACTCCTGCTAGAAGTCAGTTCACACTCTTTTGAGGAGTTTCTGAAGTTATTTAAAGTCCTCATCACAAAATAACTCCTGTTGATGTAATCTACTGGAGTCCTTATTGAACATGCATCCATACATTTCCCTTTTTTTTTTACATCCATTTCCCAGTATAACTAATGGTTTCTGGTTGTTTTCTTTGGAGTTTGACTTTTTCATGTATCCCCAGAGTTGCAGAAGCACAAAACAAACTGCAGTAGGCTTAAGTAACTGAACTATGTGGACAATGGCAGCATGGCATGTAGTGGTCTGAACTATCACAGTGACCAGCCTTTGGCTTTGTTTTCTTTTCTTTTTTTTTGTTATATTTTGGCCTTTATTGGATAGGGCAGCTGATGACAGACAGGGAATGTTCTGGGGGAGAGAAGGGGGGAGAGAATGGGGGGGGGATGACATGCAGTGAAGGGCTGAGGTCGAATTCGAAACCAAGAGTGACAAGGACTAGAGCCGCTGTACATGGGGCACACCACAAAACCACTAGGCTTATCCGGCGCCCCTTTTGCTTTGTTTTCTAGATCACCAGAAAATGATCACAAAAGAACAGTTATGTTGAGCTGAGGTGATCAATAAGACAAGATCACCCCGGAAAAACTAAAATTCACAGAAAAAATGGAGTCAATAAAAATGTATGGATGCATGTCGGGTTGGGCCTTCTGTATGGCATTTCTCTGTAAAGCATTCCTTCATGTGCACTAACTATTTTTCACTGTGTTTTTTTTTTTTAGATTATACTGACACTAAAAGACGTCGTTACTATGACCAGAGAGAAAACCGCTCGGCTCATTCCCAACGCCATCCAGGTGTGCACGAGCACCGACAAGGTATGTTGTATTAGAAGAGAGTAAGAGCTTACTCAAAGTCTGATTAAAACTGACTGATTAAGTCATATTTCTTGATATCTTCCCCTTTAGTACTTCTTCACTTCCTTCTCGGCGAGAGAGAAAAGTTACCTGGGAGTTTTCCGCATGTGGCAGAACACGCTGTTAGACAAGGTAAGGCCCTGTTTCACTCACCTGCTGTTTCTTTATAAAGTCACCAAACTACAAACACGTGCTGCGTCAGGACAATCTCGATACTCCATGTGTTATGCATTTCATACCTCAGTGACATGTGTCAAGAAAAAAAAAACATGTCCTCAAGACAAACATTTCACATGTATCACAAATGACTGTCATTAACTCTAACATACTTTAATGCTGTGACTGAAGCAGCTGTGTGACTTTCACCCATCCTGCAGCACTTATCTAATCGGTCCAGAGTACATATCATGCCGGCCCAGCCACAGACTATCTTCCTCAGTGGTTATCAGTGTTTTCTCCTGGTGCATGTTGGGTAAAGATCTGCACAGAGCAGCTCAGCAGGTTTTGCCTTGGAGTACGACAGATGGAAGCTTTTGTTTATTGTTCCACATACAGAGGTAGGAATAATTTACATACATGTATGACAGGAGTAGCAGACAGCTATATTTATTTAGTTCACCCAAGTCTAAAAGTTAAAGGGATCATGACCATTAGACTAGGTAACTTAGCATTTATTAATTTATTTGCTTATATCAAAATCTCCAGCAGAAACATTGCAAACAGATGGAAAACCTTCCCTTTAGGAAGTTTTTAGCATGTGAAATTTTCATTTTTTTAATCAAATGTGGGGATAATTAAAGTGCGAATGCTTTAAAATCTTAGTAACATAGTTGCCTGTCAGTAACAGGCAATCGTGATTCTGGTTCGGTATTGGAAGAAAACTCGGTTTGATTTCATGAAAATCTAGACACCATCTTTATTAAAACATGTATTTGCTATACAGAGGTTGACCATTAAACTACAAATAGATGTAATTCATTTGATCAATATAGAAACCAAGGTGTTATGTACATCTTTTAATTTTTAATAACTCAGTTTAGGCAAAAACACGTTGTTTTACTTCCCCTTTAAATTACTTACAGACTCTACTTGTAGGAGACAGGCACCATAGCAGCATAGTCTACCCACGGGGCTGCGAGTCTGCAGGGATCCGGAGCACAAACACCTGTATGACAACATCACCGTGAAAGTTCATTGACCCCTGCTGTAGGTGTGGCCACGAGGGCTCGTTTACATTCTGCCTTCATCCACACAGAGTGCACTTGAAGCCGAAGCTCTTATTATCCACGGAATCACACGATAACAACTAACTTTCTGTGTCCGGATTGTCAGTAAAC